AAATATTCTAAAGTAATCAGATAACTCGAACTAGGTGACATTGATACTAATGTTTTTGCCAATATTTATTTTCTCCAGTTCTCATTACCGTTTAATTTTTTTGTTACTGATTCAATCTTCTTACTCATTATTGGTCTTTTCAGATTTATATTTCTTCATGATTCAGTCTTAGCAGGATGCATGTTTTTAGCAATAAATCTAATTTCTCTAGGATGTCCAGTTGATTGTTATATAACTGTTTATCATAATATCTTAAGAGCCTTTGTATTTATGTGGTATTAATTTTGATTTCTCTCCTTTTACTTCTGCCTTTTATTTTTCAGTCCTCTCTCTGTTTTTCTTGGTAAACCATCCTACAATTTTTCATAATTTTGTTTATCTTTTTGAAGAATGAACACTTAGTTTTATTAATCATTTCTATTGTTTTTCTATTCTTTATTTCATTTATATCTATACTAACCTTTATTATTTGCTTTCTTCTGTTAAATTTTGGCCTAATTTGTTCCTTTTCCTAGCCCCTTGAAATATGCTGTCGGGTTGTTTATTTGAGATCTGTTCTCTTAATGCAGTCACTCATAGTTATTAATATAACCTTTCCTCATAGAACTACTTTTGCTGCACCCCATGAGTTTTTTATATATTGTGTTCCATCTCGGTTTGTCTCAAGATATTTTTTGATATCTCTTTTGATTTTTTCTTTGGCCAATGGGTCTTTCAAGAGTGCATGCGTTAATATCCAGGTATTTATGGATTTTCCTGTTACTGATTTTCACTGATTAGTTCAGCTTTGCACATGTGCAGAGCTACTGTGTGGACTGTCCACTCAGGTATCGCTGGAAGCAGGAATGCAGTCCTCGGAGATTTGAACACTGGTTGCTCTTAAGTCCCGTCCCTCTTCTCCATTTCCCCAGCTATTGAGCTCCCTGGATTCTTCCAGGGACCCATGAGGTGAGACCAGAGGGGGCCCCCTGGGAAGTTCCCTGCAATGACGGGGAAGCTGGATATCCACCTTAGATGTTCTTTCCCACTGGACTGGGTCAGGTGGTTTTCTGGCCATCTTATATCTCTATTTCCTGAAATAATCTGAATCAGCTTCCTTGGTGATTGCCGATTTCTTTCCTGAAGGAGCCCAGGGCATTTGTGATCATGAAGTGACCTGTAATGGATACCTCTTTTCAAAATCTGAAAGTAGAGAGCCCTTAAAAGTTGGTCCAGCATGGCCCTCAAAACAATTACTTGTTCAAGAAAGGACGAGAAAATACCTGAAATAACATTCCCCTGAGAGGGGATTTTAGGCTGGTAATCCAGTCTCTATAAAAATGTCTAATGGTTTTTGCAAGGATGGAGTGGAAGGTGGGAGTGATTTCTGCGTAGTATCAATACATACCTAATGGAGGCAAATTTTCTAGACCCAAGAACAGCGGTCCAGTAGCTGTGCTTTCAAGAATAAAATTAAGGAAAAAAAGGAGAGTGGGGGAGGTAAATTAAAATGAACCGGCCTTTTGTGCATGGGTCACTACTGTGAACTCTGCAGAAACAATATAAGCATGTGATTCTAGCTTCTGTAGAAAAGCGTCATTTGTTGCATTGGACAGGCCCAGTCATCTACAGTGATACATTATACCAGTGGGAAACAGGGAAAGTATTGGTCACATGGGATTAAAGCTCTTTCTTGATTTATGTTTGGAAGTAGTCCTAAACCTTCTGATTAAATCCCAAGGAATTTTAGACTTTTTCCCCTGTATTTTTTTTTTTTAATTTATTTAGTACTGAGAGGACAGGCCTTAAGTAGAAATAATTTGGAGGCCAAGATACAAACTGTAAAAGAAAAGGAAAGTGACAGAATTTGTACTTTGAATTAGTGAAACCGATTTTCTGCTTTATTGCTTTTAACTTCTGTCTCTTTTAAAGTTGTAATCATTGTTTGCTTACATATAAGTAAAATCTTTTCTATATTAAAGATATTGAATCTTGTTTGTGATAAAATCCTATTTTCTTTTTTTTTTTTTTCCATTTATTTTTATTAGTTGGAGGCCAATTACTCCACAATATTGCAGTGGCTTTTGTCACACATTGAAATGAATCAGCCATGGATTTACATGTATTCCCCATCCCGGTCCCCCCTCCCACCTTCCTCTCCACCCGATCCCTCTGGGTCTTCCCAGTGCACCAGGCCCGAGCACTTGTCTCATGCATCCAACCTGGGCTGCTGATCTGTTTCACCCTAGATAATGTACATGTTTCGATGCTGTTCTCTTGAAACATCCCAACTTCGCCTTCTCCCACAGAGTCCACAAGTCTGTTCTATATTGGTGCTTTTTTAAATGCTGTTTTTGTTAGTTCATTTTTTGATATAGGGCAGAGCAAAGCTGTACTGCTTAAAACCCTCTTACTGTAATAAATCCAGTTTGTTCTTGGTGGTTTTTGGCTGGTGGACATTGACAAAAATTAATGGGCATATAATTAAAGATTAAAAAAGAAAAACAACTGATGTTAGATAAATAAAGGAAATACATAAGATTAGGAGCTGGGTATGCAATAGCAAATAAACATAAAATATTAGATAATAACAAAAAAGCTAAAAATTAGTCATTGCAAAGGACCTTCAATTTATATTACTAATAGAAAAGATAAATAGGGCTTCCCTGGTAGCTCAGTCAGTAAAGAATCTGCTTGCAATGCAGGAGACCAGGGTTCAATCCCTGGGTCAGGAAGATCCCTTGGAGAAGGAAATGGCAACCTGCTCCAGTATTTTGTCTGGAGAATTCCATGGACAGAGGAGCCTGGTGGGCTACCTTCTATGGGGTCCCTGGCAGGCTACAGTCCATGGGGTCGCAAAGGGTTGGATATGACTTAGTGACTAAACCACCACCAATATAGAAGGTAATTTAACTATATGGCCTATTATTGTCAATATCCACCAGCCAAAAGCATCAGGAACATAAAGAAATAAGTCACACATACTCAGTATTAGGGAGAGAAAATACATGTGTGGGAGATGGATAATTAGAAATGCAAATTAGGTAATTTGCATTTTAAGCAAATTTAGCTCAATAAATGTGAAAAATTAAGAGAATAGTACAGATTCCTTAAAAACATTATTTGCCAAAATAGGCTTCAAAATAAATTCATGAGGTAAATAAAAAGACCATACAACCTCCAAATAAAATTTTATATTTAGTTAAAGTGTTCCTACAAAGAAAACAGAATGCTCAGATAATTTTACAAATGAGTTCTAATAAACATTCTTGTATTAGGTCATTTCAATCCCATGCAAGCCCATCTAGAGAATATAAAAATAGGACATCCTCAACTTACTTTGTGTGACAAGTTTGTTGACTTCAAAATTAGACAAGTATATCATGAGAAAATCACAATTACAAATGTTGATATAAATATCTTAATTATTAATAAGCTCAATTCAGCCACAAATATAAATAGAATAAATCATTCGCAGTCTGGTTTCATCATAGCAAGCCAAATTTGGTTTAATCTCAAAAGAATAAAATATTTTCACAAAATACATTGCATTAACAGATTAGGGCAAAGAAACATATGATTATCACAATAAATACAGCAAAAGCATGAATAAATCTCATCATGCATTGATGATAAAAAGGCAATTATCAACTGGCAATAGAAGGGAGTATCACATCCTGATAAAGGGAATCTATGAAATACACACAGCATCCATTCATTTGCTCAGTGGTGAAATGCACAATTACTCCATTCACATTAGGAACAGTACAAGAAAATTCACATTGCCAGATCCACTCAGTACTTTACAGGACGTCCTAACAAATCCAGTAAGAGCATTAAAAAATTATAAAATTAAAAGGAAGGAAATGTATTCCATCAATTACAGATTACAAAATCATCTCATATAAGTATTTCAAAAAAATTTACAGGTAAATTATTAAATTAGTAAGTTCCCTGATACAATATAAATACACAAAAGTCAACTGTATTTTCTACATACTATCATCAGTTAGGACATATCATTAAAAATAAATATGATCCACTGTAATATATAAAGTGCTCATACTTAAATCTATCAAAGGATTAACAAATGTTATATAAAAGGAGCGATATACCATGCTTATGAATTGGGATTAACTAAAGAGGTCAATTCTCCCAAAATTGATGTAATGCATTTACAATAACATGTATTGTTCTTTGTTTGCTTGCTTTGAGGACCTATGCAAACTAATTCTAAAATGCACATGGAAGAACAAAGTCTTAAGAAATAGAAAAAAGAAAATAAGAAGACTTGCCTTGCCAGATTTCAAGGCCAACAAAAAGACTGCAGTAATTAAGACAGTGCAGTATTGTCATCGGGTAATCAAATTTGCCAGTGGAGTACAGTAGGGAACTCAGAAATCAGCTCACACAACATGTAAGGACTTGAGATGCAGTAGAAATTGCATTGAAGGTTAGTGGAAGGGAGAGGGTACTGAATCCTTTCAGTCTAGGACAGCAGGTTATTCATACAGGGAAAAAAGAAAAACTCAGAATGGATTTAACAATTAATGTAAAGCAGATTAAATGGAGAAGGAAATGGCAACTCATTCCAGTATTCTTGCCTGGGAAATCCCAGGAAATTTCATGAACAGAGTTGCCTGGTGGGCTACAGTCCACGGGATCCCAAAGAGTTGGACTTGACTGACCAACTAAATACGCATTAAGTATTTAAATATAAAAGGCAAAATGTGTGGCAGGGAGACTCTAAAATAAGCTCTCCATCTCCTGGTAGTCCTCTCTTTGTGGAAACCCTTTCCCCTGAGTGTAGGGGTAAGGGAACCTCTGACTAGCTTCTAAAAGCTGCCTGGGTGTCGCTTCCAAGATTATGATAGCGTGTTAGCAGTTTCTCTATAGATTCTCTCATCCTGACTTCATGAAGTTAACTGCCAATGGACAGGCTCACATGGCAAGTGATTCAAGGTCTTCTGCCAACAGGCAGACAAGAACTGAGGCTTTTAGTCCAATAGTCCACAAAGAATTCAGTCTTGCCAACAATCACATGAGCTTGGAAGTGGGTGCTTCTCAGATGAGATCCCAGTCCCAGCAACATCACTGCAGCCACATGTACGAGCAGACTGACCAAGTTCAGCCAGGCTTGGATTCCCGACCCACGGAAACGGTGAGACAATGAATGTGTGCTGTTCTAAGCCATTACACGTGTGGTAATATTGCTTGGCAGCAATTGATAATGATAGGAAAATACAGGAGAACTTTTTCAGTGTCAAGAAGCTAAGATTATTTGATAAGATGTAAAAAAGTATAAATAATAAAGAGAAATTATTTGTAAACATATTTTGTCTACATGCAAATTAAGAACACCTGCATATCAAAATGTCATAAAAGTCATAGTACAAAGATCATAAAAATATAAGCCAAGAAGTTATTCACAGCAAGTATAACCAAAAAAGGGTTAGTATTATTAATATACAGTAAATGTCAATGAATCAATGAGAAAAAAATGAATGCCATGGAAAAATGGATAAAAGACAGGGGCATGATTTCTTTTCACAAAAGAAGAAACACAAATGGGAAAAATAAGGAATACTGTGTGTGTGTGTACTTTAGTGCATGTGCTGCACATGTGTTCTATGTTATTAACAGAACTGAAAAGAAAAACATAGCACTCTTTTATCCTACTAGACAGAAAAATATTTAAAAGTATGAAAATGCCAAGTACAGGAGAAGCTTTGGAGTAACACAAGCTTTTCAACAATTGCTAGAGTGTCAACTGGTACAAACAATCTGTGAAAATAATAATTTGGTATCAAGAATACTTGAGGATGCTCTTTGAGCTCTTAATATATATACTAGGCTGCAGTGGGGCTGGATGGGAAGGTTTCTGGGTACAAAAAAAAACACAATGACAAAATTCTTGCATTAACATATGTGCATTATATAGCATATATAAAGTTTTATGTATAATGTTTAAAGTTACAAAAATTAAAAATATTCCCAAAATCCAACAAGATGAAAGATTCATAAAGTATGCTTTCTGGACAGTAGTCTATACCGGAACCCATCATGTTGGAAATAAGTGCTCTCCACCTACAAACATCAACATGCATTAGACAAAATTTTGAGTGAAGAAAAGCAAGCTGTGTAAGAATATATGCAGTATGTTACTGGTTTACATGATGTATAAAAACATGCAAAAATGCACAATGTGTTGATAAATATAGAGACATATGTGGTGGAGCTATAAAGAAGAGCACAGGAATGGTAAACACAAAATCTAGGATAGTTGTTACCTCTGGGGTCGCTGGTAAGGGCAGGAGGATGTGGTAACGGAAGGTCAGAGGTATACGCTTTGTACCACAGGGTAGGGTATGAGCATAGGAGTTCTGACTCAGTCCCAGCTCTGGTCACAGAGACTTATCAGCATCACAGGAGAGGGCTTCTGATAGGGTCAGCACGTCTTTTCAGCATCCACATGCTAGCATAACCTATCCATCATACCTACAGTCGGAGAAGTGGGGGCAGCAGGCCTGACATGTGCAAGGCTCAGCAAAACAGCGCCTTCTGTTTGCAGATGGTGAGCCTCAGCCAGGGTTTGGATGGCAGTATCCAGGGAAAACCAGTCACAGAAGAGGAACTCCTGTCCTCAGTGGGATGAACCCTGTGATCATAGGTGTGTGGCAGAGGCGCGTGCTGTCCCGGGCTCCTCGCTGGAAGGCTGAGGTTCCAACTGGAGGCTCTGGAACTGCTCCTGCGTTGTGACCTACAGCCACAGAAGAGAAAAAACATCCACACTTAACAAAGCAGCAGGCAGATGATAACGTATCATAGAACTTAACCCTGAGCCAAAGAATGTGTGTGAAGGATGTGGGCATTAAGTGTTCTGTAAAGAGATCATTTTCTATTCATAAAACCATTTGTTATATACAGTGTCAAGGTATATAATCATGACATGTGTAACTTGGATATGCTACTTCAGATTGTTGTTGCTTAGTTGCTAAGTCGTGTCTGACTCTTTTGCAACTCTGTGGGCTGTGGCCAACCAGGCTCCTCATTCCATGGGATTTCCCAGGCAAGAATGCTGGAGTGGGTTGCCATTTCCTTCTCCAATGGATCATCTTAACCCAGGGACTGAACCTGCATCTCCTGCATTAGCAGGCAGATTCTTTACCACTGAGCCACCAGGTTGGTCCTCACTTATTCCATCATAGCCAGTGGAGTAAGTGTCATGTTCACACATAGTCTTCAACACTCCCAGCTTTTAAGCATATTTCATAATAAATAAATGAAAACATTAAAATAGGAAAAATACATTGATTATGATGCATAAGATCATAATAATGTATCTACTGAATGAAGGTATGAACATAAAATTATGATAAATGTTATACAAATAGCTCTTGTAACATGATATAAAATTTTAAGTAATAGTATCATACTTAAATTTAATAGGCTTCCTTGATGGCTCAGAGGGTAAATAATTCTGCTGCAATGCAAGAGACACAAGAGACACAAGTTTGATCTCTGGGTCGGGAAGATCCCATGGAGGAGGAAACGTCAACCCCCTCCAGTACTCTTGCCTGAAAAATCCCTTGGACAGAGGAGCCTGTCAGCTACAGTCCATGGGGTTGCAAAGAGTTAGACACAACTGGGCAACTAAACATAAACTTAAGAGAGTCTCTACCTTCATAAAACTCAGAAGGAGACACAATATTCTCTGTAATAACTCAAACCATGACTCTAGAAATAAAGCACTGAAGTAAATGAAAATTTGAATGACTTTTTCTTAAAATATAAACATGAAAAAAGCTCCAAATTATTTCCAAATATATTAATTGCATACCTGTGATTTTACATGTTTTTACAATTCAGTTGATATATGAAACATTAAAATAGGTGTCTAACTGGTCTATATGCCAACTATGTAGGCTCAAATTCTCTGGGGACATTTTAATATTTTCTTCTTGGGAGAATGGTGCATTCTGTTATATGTGGGTTTCATAGAAAATGAATTGGAGGTGATCGCAAAGAGGAAACAAGTATCATTCTATTAATTTTCATGTGTGACTTTATTTAATCCTTACATCAACTCGGGGGGAGTTTTACAGATGGGGAAATGGTGATTTCAAATTAAGAAAACTGCCCAACACTTCACAGTTGGTCATTATTTATTGACCTAGGGATTTGTATTCAAATTTTATCAAATTTCAAAGTTCATATAACATACAAAGTGTTGTTAATATAACATTTTAAATAGAAATCTCCCTCTCCAAATTAACCAAGGAAATGGGAGAAAGGCATAAACATAGCTTGTGAAAAACCCATGAGTACAACATGTTGATTATACACAGAAAACCTTATACCTCATATGATAATGGAATCCTGCCAGATTTTCATGTGGGTGCCCAAGAAAGTCCTGGAGCAGGGAATGGCAACCCACTCCACTATTGTCTGGAGAATCCCATGGACAGAGGAGCCTGACAGGCAGTAGTCCATGGTGTTGCAAAGAGTCGGACACGGCTGAGTGACTGACTGAGCATAAAAGCAAGTACCATTTAGTAATGGGGGTTTTGTCCAATAACTATAAACTCAAAATTTATAGTTAATTTTGAGTAAAAGATAAAGTATAACTGAATGCATGTACATTTCATTTTATTTTGGTCAATCTAAAGAAGACTAACACAAGTTCCTTGGAGCACATAAGCCCACTGTGAGTGTGATATGCTTGAGTTAACACTGAATTGGCCAGGACCCAGGTTAATGTCTGGAATAAAAAATGAAGAGCAGAACCCACCTATTTCACTGTGTAGGGTTAACTTTTATTAACTGCACTCTTTATATGCAGTTGTCTTTTCATGGGTGTTTTATGGAAGCAATTTCATCACTTTTTGGTTGTATTGTGTTCTTGTAAATCTCCCTTCAAAGTTTTGTGAAATACTACATTAAGGCATCAAGTTAAAATGGCTCAACATAGTTTAAAAAGCCTTATTTTAAAATCTGAGAAACTTTAAACAAATATATAAAACAAAATTAATCTTTTGGAACATGGCAAAGGAATAAATGAATACTTAAAACAATAAATAAACACTAATAAAGTTGGGCAGTGATCTTTCATTGCAGTAGAACAAAGTTTGGGAGCATTATTTCTATTATGCAATGAATAAGGTAAGAAGTGCCTTATGCATTGTCCATAGAGGGATGTCAGATTTTAATGCAGGGATTAGACATTTCTGTGTTGTTCATTTACTCATGAAGTGAGAAAAGTGACAGTGATGGGAGCTGAATTAACTTCCAAAAGAATGGAGAGCACCATGGATGTCCCATGTGTATGAATATCTGCTTCCTTAAATCACTGGGATCATGGTATACACCCCTCGCTTGGAAATAGCAAGGGAGACAGTATATAGGAAAACACCACACTATCTAGGAAGCTGTAAAACTTGACACTTAGATGAAATTCAACACCAGTGTTAATACCCTTGAAAGAAAAAATTCATTTCATCTCAAGAGTCACAGCAATACAGAAATAGTTTAAAGAAATAAGATAGAGCAACTGCAATGTACTATAGAAAAGATTTGCTCAGATTACAATCTATCCTTTTTTCTGACATTTTAGCTATAATAAGATTTCAAAGAGATTCTTAAATAGTTAATACAATAATGAGCTCAATTGTTAGAGGAACAGTTCTCCTTATGCACCTTATTTTGTGTTCAGATTTAGGTTCAGAGTTCCTTCCATTTTTCATTTCTTTCTTCTCTCCTTCCTTTTCTTCTGACATTATTTCCATAGTAGGGATAAGAACAGTTTATTACCCCCGCCCCCAAATGAATTACTTTTAAAGATATTTGGTTGACTGTCCACTCCATAGGTTTTGTTCACTGCTGCCTTCTCAGGATTGGCCGGCTCCGCCTGGTAATGTGAATCTGGAGGCACTGAGAGGGTAGGGGGAAGAAAAGAACTACTACTGGCCAGCAGGAGCCTGGAGGAGATGCCGAGTCATCCTTTACTGTTATTACCAGCAGCCATCTGCATGCACCCTGGTCCGACCACACTCACACAGCCTTCTCTTCAGGGCATCCCTTGCTGTTCAGTCATGGACCACATTTCTCTATGTGAGAAATGTGTTGGGGCAATTAAGTCAGGGGAGGACTGGGAGAGAGCGACTGTCCGCAGTTTGTTCTGCTTGTGCCTCTCACTGTTTATTGATGGAACATCCTGTGACGATAGAGTTAAATCTAACTAGGAAAGGCATGGATGGTGATTTCTCTCCAAATGTACTGAAGCTCCATAAACTACTCCCTTTTCTCATAACCACCGTCCTACCGCAGAGCAGCTGACACTGCGGTGCCTCCGGTAGTAATCACTACCGGCATGCCCTTCCTCTCCTTCTCCTCTGGATGAACTCCTACTAGCTCTGAAGTCTCTGGAGAGACCACCAGTTCTTCACAGGGCAGGCACAGAGTCAACTCATTGTCTTCTTTCCTCATGCAAATTAATACCTTGATGGTAGATACCCCAAAACTACTGTGAATTGATAGCTGAGCTGTAAACCTGCTCCAAATGGCTTCACAAAAACAGATTCCCTGCAAAGAGAATATGGGCTTCAGATGTATCTGTAAAATCAACACCAGTGAGTTGCTGTGAAGATTGTAACGATGTACATGAAAACCTTATAGTTCTGTGCAGCACATTACTAACGTGCAGACTAATTTATAATAGATATTTCTCTATCTTTAAAAACAAAAGTCTCCACTATGCTGACCTTTGGCACCATCTATCTACTAGAATGACTCAAGGGACCTGCACCAACCTTCCTTTCATAGATCTCCTGCTCGAATGGAGATTCCACCAATGGTAGGAGGGGCAATTGTGGAGCCCAGGCATACAGTCCCGGGATGTTCTTGCTACATAGTAAGTTAGGACAAAGTACAGAGAAGAGTGAACTGGACTGAAGGCAGGACTTAAAATTAACTTACAGGACTGGAGTCATGGCTTGTCCATCACTGAAGGGTGCAAGTGGCTGAAATCACAGGACTGCATTTCCCAACTCTGCTTTCTCAGCTCCAAACAAAATCCTAGCACAGGTACCCAAAGAACTAAAAAGAGGGCTATTACAAATTATCCCAACCATAGCCAAGTTGCTTTTAGCTTTTTATTAACAGAGGAGTCACATTATACATATAGTTGGAATAATCTGGGCTATGATCTCCAGTATGGGTTTTCTTCGCTGTGTAACTGGTTAGACGTGAAAGAAAAATGAAAATGAAGAACAAAAGCAAGACACCCGGCTAAGGTTCGGAAGCCTTCTCCAAACCTATCTTTGGAAATGGAGCTAAACATGTTACTTGGACTAAACACAACAGAAGCTCATGTAAATTACAGCTCAAGCATTTACAAGTTAGCTAGAAAATGTGAGAATCTGTTTTAAGTTCCTCCTATTCTTTGTGCAAAATAAAAAATAAAAACTCAGTCTAGTTCTTAAAATGTTATTTGAATTTTTATGCCAACATGAAGGGAAATACTACTAGTCAAGTACTGAAAACAATGCCTTAGCAGCTATTTTTAGACATACTTTGGTCTATATTTAAACAAGCAGTAGATAGCCCACATATGTATATTAAATTCCTAGATCTGTCTTAGAATATTAGGCTTCCTTACCTCTGTAAGTGGTGTTATAGCATACTGTCTTCTACTTACACTTTTCACTAGTGACATTTTTCTAATTATGATCAGAATTAAGTCAGATTTTAAAACCATTGTCCATGTTTACTTATAGATAACTGAATGAGATAGACTTTATATAGTAGCTCAGATGGTAAAGCATCTGCCTGCAATGCAGGAGACCTGGGTTTGATCCCTGGGTTGGGAAGATACCCTGGAGAAGGAAATGGCAACCCACTTCAGTATCCTTGCCTGGAAAATTTCAAGAACAGAGGAGCCTGGCAAGCTTCAGTTCATGGAGTTGCAGTTACACACGACTGAGTGATTAATACACACAGCATCTATGATGATCCTAAACCAAATCACCAAAAACTCTGCTGATACATGATGCCAATCAAAAGTCAATGGCAGACAGAAGGGGTGGCATTTTTACAAAAAGAAAAAAAACATACCTAGTGTGTAGGAGTCTCTTCTTCAAATATGAAGGTACTAATGGCAGATCCTATCCCACGCCTGGGAATTAGACATAAATAATTACCCCATTCCTGCCAGGCATATATAGTATTAATTATTCTGTTTGTCCAAAAAGCCAGTTAATCAAACATCTAATACTCAGGTTCTAGGCTCATTATGGAGGCGTTCAAGTGTATCTACCTAAAATTCATGCCTTTCAGGTTTCTATAGATTAAGTATAATCATAGACTTCTTTCTCCTGAGCAGGTTCTCCCATTTCCTTCCTTCCTGGAATTGTCATTACAGTAAATTCAGCTATGGATATGGACTCTCTCATCCAAAGTGAGTAATTTGCATCATTTCTAACTTTTGAAAACTAGATCAACATTACCACCACCCTTAAGTTACTTTTTGGGTCAGCAAAAGTAACCCATTCTTTCAGAATTTCAATATGTAAATAGTATTATTTTAATAAATGCTTTTATTCCAATTGAGCCCAAGTTTGGGGAAATCAATGAAGGAAAGAATTATTTTTATGGAAAGAACTTTTTGTGTTTCCTTTGAAAATGTCACAAAGTCATCAGTGTTGCTTTAATTATTTTGTGATGATCAGAGTAGAAGTGCAGAGTCTGTTCACATTTTTCCTAGGATAACACTCTGGAAGTACAGGACCTTGGTGTTCTGAGATCATAATTAGGATGTTAAGGCAATGGGTCCCAAGCATGAACAAGTCCTTGCATATGCAATGGCTGGGCCAGCTTTCACCTATGTGTAACACTCCTCAGAAACAGAACCTGTGAACCTAAGGCATCTCCTCCCGCAAACTTTCCCTTGGGTCAGAAGTAGACAAGGAAATTCACCCTGACCTTCCTACGTGGTGAAAGATACCCTGTGAAGATCACCTTAAGTGCGTCCCTTTCCTTATCTATTAGTAACGCATTCTCATCTTGTCCCCATATTCATTCACAGAACTGCTTTCTTTTTCATTTTCCACATCTCTCCCCCAACTCCTGTGCATACTCAACCTGGCTCTTCTGCCTGTGAGCATGTTTCTGTGCAAAGTTAAAGGCAAGGCAGTGGTCCAGAATCTGTGTTCTTTGCTGTTACCTGCACACATTGTTGATTCTTACCTTGATCGAACCTCATATTACTTTCAACCCAAAGCCTTTTTATTTGATATAAGATCGCACATCCTGGGAATTGAAAGCAGACACTGAGACGCTGACCAGTAATGGAAATGGTGTTATCATCCATGTAGAAATGTTACATGCATCGTGATAACCCTGAGATAGGAAGAATAATCTTTCTTGAGAATAACAGTGCGGATTTGAGTCTTTGGTTGCCCTCTCAACCTGTATTAATACAACAGGATTTTCATTCATTTTTGACATTGTAGAGAGAAGGCAGGGAGAGCTACTCCAGGAAGTAGACGTGGGGAAGGAGAGGGTGGCTTTCCTACCGTAAGGGAAGGAAAATGACAGCCTGGTTAGCTTCAGCTGGAATGTAACATACCCACAGCTTGATCACCCTGGAGGCACATTTTGACATAACAACAAACTACTGAGAAAGAGCCACTTTTATCTAGGTCAGAATGACAGAATCCCAAGTGTTAGTGCCTGGGGGGTAAGGGGGGTGGTGTGAAAATACAGTTTGAAGCATCAAGAAGAAGACTGCAGTCTACAGAGATCTGCATCAAGTCTCCACACTGCCTCATCGTTTTCATCCAGTTCATTTTAACTGCTCCACTGGTCTCTAACAGCATCGCATTTTGATTTCAGCGTCTATCAAAATAAAACGAACCATGTGTTCTGAAGACGACATTTATAATAAGATGCAGATGGTAAAGGAAACAGATGCTTCTGACATCATCTGCCATTGGCCTTCAACTTCTGCAGACACCAGCAGTCTGGAGACTCATTCAAAGGGACGCAGGATAAGTCAGGGAGTTTTCCAATTCTGTTTCCAGTCTAAAAAACACTGGCGGCAGCAGCACTGCTTTGACTCATAGAGTGATAATTCCACAAGGAGAAATCTGACTCTAAGGCGGTCAGGCTTTGATACAAAATTAATCATCAGGACAGGGGGGAAAAAAAATCCCCACAAATATCAGAGTTTAGCCATTAGTAACTACTGACTGTTTTGCATGAGTGACAGAAAGGACAGGGTGGGAGTGGTGATGGTGAACAGCTGCAGTTTCAAGGAAGCAAGAAGGAGAGGGTTTTAAAGAGACAAGAGGGCCTAAAATACCCTACCAGCCCTTGGCATCCACTGTTCCAAAACTGATTCCTTATGACTTTTAAGTAAAAAACTTTAAGGAGGATTTTCAGGTCAGTTTCTTACCTCAAAGGAAAGGAAAAAAAAATCCATTCTGTATTTCCATCTGTATTTTCCAGAAGAGATCTGATAATTCCGACAGGAGCTTTCACCATTTCCCCAGTGATATCTGTGAACATTCTACACAGTAAAAGGATCTGTGTGTATGTGTGGCGTGCAAGATAAATGTGTTGGGACACCTTCTAAAAAAGATAAGAAACTTTTGTACTTTGTCTTGAAAGTAAGAGGCGCTTGGGTAAAGCAGTAACTGCCAGGCTTTCAGCAGTGCATGAGGCTCTGGGCTAGAGTTACAGATGAAGCGGAGAGTTAGACAAAAACCTTTAAAATCCTCCTATCTCCCCTGACCATGGTAATATAACTTCATCTACACCTCCGTGGCACAAATATCTGAGCAGAAAAAAATTCAGAAACAAAGGCAAGGAAAGTGGTGACATAAAAATAAATCCTGCTAGGCCAAATACAGTGCTTATTTTTAAAATAATCTCTCTCTGCATGTAACAATTGATCACAAACACACACACAAACACACACAGTACAAGAATAAACAAACTTCTAATTCATATCCACAAATTGGGTTGGAAAGTATTAGTGCAAATCTCTGCTGACCTGCAGCACTCAGTCCATAAACTTTGGGTATCCTAGACGATCCATCAGCGTCCAGCAGATGTTCTCAATTAGTTTAATTTCATCCTTCGGCAAGTTTCGTTCCCAAACGTTAGTATTAGCGGGTGATATCTCCCCTTCGTAGGGAAGGTAGAAAAGGTTCGTGGAGGTGGCAAACAATATTTGGTTTAAAGTAGCAGGAGATACAGGAATTCCAAGGAAGGCAAAAATCCTTTCCGTGGTTTTCTGAGGGAAATGCACAAGATCTTCAAACTTGATCAGCTGGTAGCTGGTGGGCAGCAGGTCGGCATTTATCCTCAGGGCAGCGGCCGTGTTTGCCAGCCACGCATGGGCCAGCAGCGAGACTGGGTGAGGTCTGGATGCCAACAGTTCCTTCCGCAGCAATTCATACTCGACAGCATAGCCTGAGTTCAAGGTACAACGGCCTGCACTTCCCTCCGTTTTAAACAGCTTAGCTAAGTGCTCCTGTACATTCTTCAAAGAGTAAAGGCTAGGTTTACTACTGTACAGCATGGAATAAACCCACGCCCGAGGGTCCCTCACCACGTATAAAGCCCTCATGGAGGCTCCCAACACCTCATGAAAGAAATGCAGCTTGACGGTCCAGCTCCCGCTGCCCAGGCTGAGCACCGGCCGTGCGCTGGGGTAGTGGAGCAGGTGTCTCCGCAGAGCCCGGACGTATTCAGCGTCTCTGTCAAAGGCGCCTTTCATTCTGCTTCTTTGTTCTGCCAGAGACTCTCTCCTTTTCAACTTCCTTTTCTTGTCTTTATTCATGGTAAAATACTGGGCCAGTTTTCCCCTACTGGGTTCGTGCAGATGGATGTTCTGCAAGTGGAGTTTCGTGTCTCGGACCAAGGACTGCAGCCAGCCTCGGAGTAAACGGAAACGCACCCCGTGGACGTCGGACGCTGTCCATTCACAGGCGTCCACAAAGGAGTCAATTTCCAATTCCGTTTCCGGGATGTCAATGTAGGCTGTGGGGACCCGGATATAGAGGAAGTCACTGCTGTTGAAGAAGAGTTGTTTGAGAATCTCGGCTCCGGAACCAGGAAGTGAGGTAATGATGACGTCTGGCGGGTCTGCGCGCTGGCCTCCCGGGGCCGGCGTCTGCGCGCTTGCCTCCGTCTCCGGCCTCGCCCATTTGGCACAGATGGGCTGCGTGCAAGTGCTCCACACGTCCAGCAGCTCAACGGACCACAAGGCAATAACAAGGATGAGGATCCACCGCATAAGCTTTCTAAAAGAAAGGTAAAACCGCCACTGAAAAGTTAAGATCACCAGGCCGATGCACAAAATCAACCCAACTGCTACATTAAATTTAAATCCAAAGGGGAAAATAACTCTATCACGTCTTACAGGCTTTACTATTGCCTCAGCGCCCAAACCAAAGCGGGTTACTTGGGCCTGATCAGCCACAGTGGCAAAGCCGCCAAATCCCAGGTAGTCAAACCTTGTCTTCAAGTTCTGGTAGTCGGTCACGATCGAAACAACATGGTCGGTGTTATTGACATTGAGAGAAAGCTGAAGTCCAGAGTTGGAATTATCAATAAATCTACAGCTGGAAACATTGACGTATGGCCCATAGAAGACATACGCGATTCTTGTGATTGCGGATTCCATCTGAAACGTGACATTGACAAACTGAGTCCAGCGTTTCTTAAATTCAGCGGCTTGCTCTGCTTCCTGGATACTAGCAAGGGGGCTACTGCCACGATGGTCAAACCAAAACATCTTGTAGTGAGCATCCCACACGTCCATCAAGGCGCCACTATACCTGTTCATGAATCTATATGGGATGTACTTAAAATCAATATCCAGATTATGGAAGAAGGCACTGACAGATTTTATTGGGGAATCTTCTTGCTTCTCGACGTGATCAACAACTAGCAGAGTCTGAGAGTTTAAGAGAAGCAAAGCCCGATACACGCTTTTCAGCTTCATTGCTGAAGAGTAAGCCGACACGGCTTCCCCACTCACAAATATCATGTCCCCGTGCTGAGAGGCAGTAATGATTTCCCCGGCCGCATCACCAACCTCCTCGCCGGTCCACTTGAGCCACTGTGCACATTCTCCCAGCTGACCTTCCCAGGGCTTATTACACTGGCTCGTGGGTGACGGTGCGAACACCAGCACGTTGTTCAGGTGGCTCAACTTGGGTCCATAGAGAGCTTCGGAAACAAACACCTGCCCGTTGGGGGCAAAGGTAAATGAATTCTGATCCGGATGTTCATGTCCAGGGTTGAAGCTCCTCCACCCATCAATCCAGGAGTATGGCTGGAAGTGAACTATGTCATACACAGCACGCCCTCCTAGCTTCCCAGACTTAAAAGACACAAAGGTATTGGTCTGTGTATTTGGCAGCCCGGCCCCATAAGTGACCACACCCCAGTTAGGGAACATGTGCAATTTTGCAGTGCCATATTCCGCAGGAGGCTGTGGGGTGAGCTGGGGGTCATACCAGATGTATTCAGTGTGAAGGGTACTCCACCTCTGGGCAGTGGAGGGGACCATGGGTCCGTCTTTAGGTCGGTGCCTTCTGATTTGCTGAGCTAACCAATTCCCAGCTCCATTCTTTAAGACAAATTTATCCAAAAAAACTAACTGGCTCTCAGGACCATAAAACCAGTTATAATTGGAATCTGCTATCCCCACGGTCCTTTGGAAGCCTGGCAAAAGGGTGGAATAATAGAACCAAAAGTGCATTTTTAACCAGTTGTTATCCAAGTTGTTGATATTAAAGTGGCGCTGGGCCAGAAAAACATACTGTGTGACTGATTTAGCTGTGTAGCTTCCATAGGCCACACCTTCATCCAAAGAGCCATCAACAACGTGATTCAACAGAAACATGGTCTTTTCCATCACATCTACTACAACCTGTTTCCACAGATTTACCTTAGTCGCTTTATCTACCCCAGTCACCAAAGCCCCGGTGAGCAGTGCTATCATGTTAGTAGCTTGGTGGTTGTGAAGAAGTTGTTTGCCCCAGGAACGGACCTTAGAAAACTCATACATTTCCTCAGTAATAACCCATATTTTTTCTAGGTATCTTTGTCTCCGACGACCATCTAATAAATTATATAAAAAGTCAAAGGCAGTGGCAAAACCTGTTAGGGAATGGCCAACTGGAACCTCATCCCCTGGTGCATTCTCCACCAGCCAGTTTTTGTAGCCCACCATCCTATCCATGTATTCCAAGGCAAATTCAAAGGCAACTTTGTCTTCCGGGCACAGCAAACAGTACAGCGCTAAAGGAGGCAGATTGTTACCATAGATTTCATTCCACTTGGCAGCAAAATCAGCATGCTTGGGTGGAGGTAGGTAGTATGTCGGGTTTGACAGCATAGCAGTCACCGCGCTTCTGATTGCTCTAAAAAGGTGCAAATGGGTCGTGCGAGACTTCTGTCTCATTGCTTGGATCTCTCCAGCATCAAAATACAAACGTGGATGAAGCATACTCTTCTTCAGTTTTTGATTGGGTCTGACATCTTGCAGTCTTTGTGTCTTAAATAGATCTATGTCATCTGTGAAAACTGCCCAGTCAGAGTAATTGCTCACAGATTCCTCCAAAGTAGAGAAAGCAAACATCACTAATACTAAAAATAAGCAATGTCCTGTAAACATTAACGCCATGATCCATCGGGGAGCTCCTTTCCTCAGGCATACATGTCAAATGCAGCGCTCAATGTGCTTCCCATCTGCTGAGTATAAAACATACATTTAAGGCCTTGATAAAACAAAGACTGTAAATTGTGTGTGCTGTGAAATCCTGCTGACATTCAGCTCATTCAAAGTATAGTTGCCAAAAAGAGAAACCTTACACTGTGAATCTGCCTCCCTGATGCAGTGTTGCTTCCAATAAAACTTCAAGGAATGTTAAAGCCTCTGATTTTCCCATGTCACATAGAAAACAGGAGTGGAGATAGTCAAGAATACTATGAATTCACAATTTACTTCCGTGACAGAAATCTACCTAACATGAAGAGTCAAAAACCCCACATTGTAAAAAAAGAAAAAAAAAAAAAAAGCACTCCAAAATCCAAATTAAGAACTCATTCCTGGCACAGGATACCATCCCTGGTGATAAGGTCATCATACAGGTCTGATGCCTTTGTCTGTGTGCTCTCAAAGAAGTTGATGAAGTACTGAAATCCTTGGAGCAGACTGGGTTGTTACTCTGCTCAGCTTTTTACACTTCTGGCTGTGAAAATTTTTTTTCTTCCTCCATTTTTGGGAGAAAAACATCCTTAGCAAGTGTTCAAAGTCCTACTTGGTTTTAAAACACTCCGGATTCCTGCCCTCATTTCCAATCTGTCTTGTTCAGGCTTACTTACTCATCAGCCTATTATGACCCATCTGAGAAAGCATATTCTCATCTTCTTTTAACAAAGCTTCATCTGTACAACTATGAAAATCTAATCTTTGCAACCACCTAGGTACTTCTTTTCCAATCATGAAGTAACCGCCAACTGGGAAAGAAAACTCCCCTTTCACCAACAGTGACGTCTCTTTTCCGTTCCTTTTTCATGACACTGAAAAAACAAAACAGAAATTTTGTTCTGGGGGACAAAACAAAACAGAAATTCTCTGAGGCTACAGGTATGCTGGGACATAAACGGAAGATTTAAACGTTCTACCATCTCCTGATAGAAATTTTAGAATGACAATAAGATCTGTTATTTAATACAATTGAAGTTACACTAAATGATTCCTTTTTCTCATACTTTTCAAGGCACATATTAGGATAACAATGGTGGTAGAAGACAACCGGCTACAAGATGTAACTTTCCCAAGAGTATTTATTCTAACGGTGGCTTGCTTTCGTAATTTAAAACGTTTTTACTCAAATACAGTCAAGAGAAGATTGAGTACCGCTGTCATTCTTGTTTTGATCACGGAAGACTCAGAGACAAAAACCCAAAGTTGAAAGGACCATTTTATGATTCTCGATGAGGGTTTAGCTTTCAAGGGCTCAAGGTGTCTTTGCCAGAGGAACTATAATACTAAGCGCAGTCACTTTTCTCGAAAAAGAAATCATGACAATGTGTGGGAGCCAAGAACGCCGGTTCTGCTCCACTCTCCCTCCCGAAAAGCCTGGTTTTCCATCCTTACAAGAAGCCGCCAGAGGGAGCTCAGACCCAAACCCGGACTCAAGGAGCAGCTTCGCGGCTGCCCGTCTGGGTTGCGAAGAACCTCACCAAGTTTCAGTCTTGGACAAGTCTCCTCTCTGTGGGAAACATGAACGCTAGGAGTTTCCTGCTCCGCTCCGCCTGTTGCATTTTGTGATTCGCTTCCTACGAACATGCCCGCTCCATCCTCCGCTCCCCATCCCCGACCCCTAGCAAGTGGTCTGGGGACAAGAGACTCCTCAATGGCCAAGTCCGCTTACCTCTGCAGATCTGGACGGGGTCTCTCCGGGTGGCGGTGGGCCCCGATGAGACGCAGGCGGAGAGTTGGAAAACACTGCTCTGCGTGGGACCCGGGCGGCCCGGCCCCCGCAGGGCTCCCGACGCCCCCGGTCCGGCGCCCCCGGCGCTCCAACAGGCTGAGGCCCCGCGCCTGTGCCCCGCCCGGCGCCGCGCGGACACGCCCGCCCTCCGGGAGCGCCGGACGCCCCCGGGCAGCCCGGGACCGTGGAAGGCAGATCTGCGCGCGCCGGGCGCTCTCGGGGACGCCGTGTCCTGCGAGGCGCTGGCGTGCCTAGAACGCGAGGCTGCCGCGGCCGCTAGTGCTCAGTGCCAGCTCCGGCCGCGCGGCCCGGGGAGGGCGAGAGACGGCGACGCGGGCCGGGGGCGGGGCGGGAACGGCCGGGGGCGGGGCCGGGGCGGGGCCTCGGCGGGGCCTCGGGTCCTGGGAGGGCGAGGCGGGTGGTGGGCGGGGCGGGGAGGACGTGGGCGGGGCGGGGCGGGGCCTCGGGCTGAGTGGAGCGAGCACAGAAGACGCCGGAGATGGGTCGGGGGCGGGGTTAGAAGGAGATGGGGCGGGACCGAGGGCGGGGCCGACCGCCCCCGGGATCTGAACCCGAGGGCCCTCCGAGTGCGCGTGTTCCCCGTTGCGGTGGCGGCGCGCGCTCCCGGAGCGGCGGAGCCAGAGAAGGAGGGTGGGATGGATTTGGGAGTGCGAGGGTCCGAGGACCTCTCCCTGCCGGCCGAGTCCCGCTGCTGTTACCCCTTTGGTTGTGGGGAAAGGGCCGACCTCACAGGGCTAGGAATGGGAGGAAGATAGAGGAGGTTCTGGGCCTGATTACAAACGAAGGGGGAAGCGGGGATGGGCGGGGTGACGCCGTGGGGTGTCTGGGATCGGCCTTCAGGAAGAGCAAGGGCTGAGGAGAAGAATGTGCGGCAGCCGGGCTGGAGTTGCTGTCATTTAGAAATGCAAAATCAATTTACCGTATTAATACAGGATGGACTTCAGGAGCACAGATGCTAAAGATCAGGGGAAGACAAAAAAGACTAATCAGCCTTATTGATTGCAATAATTTCTCTGGCAGTGTAAATATGGAAAGGTATGTGACAAACAGGTGGAAGGAACCTCTTTCTTATTCAAGAAATGGAATCTGCACTTCAGTAAAGACCAACAGGCAGCGAAGACTGTGTGACTCAGTTATTGTGACACGTGTGTGCAATTCCAGATTTTGGAAATCGTCGAGCAGCTCTAATTCCTGTGGCACTGGACATATGGAACCTCTCACTAACATCTGAGATTACACTTGGACATGAGTAAACCTGAGTCTGCTGTCTAATATAGTGAAATACCAGTTGTTGCAAATAAACAAACTCAACCCCGTTGGGGACTGGTGATGCCTTCAATTTCCTCCTACTCCATTCCATTTTGGTAGAAAGGGACAGATATGTCTACTAAAAAATGAGTGTCTTGCTCTGATCACTTCCTGGTAAAACCAAACAGTAGACTGTTGCTAGCAGAATACATTTCAAAATAATTTACCTTGGGTGTGAAATGTGGTCTCTGCTTCACTGTCAATCTTGTATTTGAGCCCCTTGGGAACCCTACCTCTGTCCAAATGGCCAATCTTGCTTTTCGCCTGCTGCTTCCATAACTATGCTTATCCAGCTCCTTCCTGCATAGCTTTCTCTGCCCCCGACACCCCAATTTATTGGTTGAAAGTTTTTCTGACTGTTGAAGTTCTCTCATTAGACTTGTCCCAGCTCAGATGCTTAAATTCTTCTGTAAATACACCCTAGGTTTTTCCCTAACCAGCTATAGCTTTTATCTGTAAATATATCCAGCCTCAGATCATTTGTTTTATGTGTCATACTTTCCCTGGCTACTGTGCTCTCTGCAAAGCTCTGTCAGGTCATGGTCAGTCACCCAGCCCCTCTCATAAGGACTGTACCTGCGTGTGAAATGAGTTGAAGCGTCAACAGTTGGGCTCATGTAGAGTCTCATATCCTCCACTGAGATTCATTCTGAAACCAGGATCCTCCTCCAACCTCTAGAGACAGAACTTTCTATAAACGTCGGGACTGTCCCTGTATATGTTCCACGATGGAGAAAGATGACCCCTGGCTTTTAGCCTCCCTTACAGGAGAAAGTAGAGTTGGAGGAAAGAGGAGCCCAGATGCAAAGATTGGTATAAGTTTCTGCAAAGAGGAACTTTAGAAAGTGACTAGGAATCCATGTTAGTAAATACAGTGAGTAAATATGCAGACCGTTTCTCAGAACAAAATGTGTGGATGGGATTCTTTCATTCTGTGAATCCAAAGTGCCTCATGACACAGGGCAAAAGTGAACCATGGAAAACAATTACAAATACTAACATCTGCCAGGGGAATATTTTAACTTCCATCCAAGCCTTTGCTTTTTCTTTTCAGATTTAACATCAATATGATCGTTTTCACTTTACAGATGAATGCATTCCGTTACAGACATTATGACTTTCAGGTCTGCCCCGAACATCTGCACCTAAGCTGTGGGGTGCAGCAGGCCTTTCAGCATTTCCAGATGAACTTTCAGGTTAATTCACTTTGAACTGGCATCGTCTCCCAGTTGTGAGTCTGTTGAAACAAAACAGGAGCTATAGCTGACCGTTTCAAATCATTGGCAAGAAAGGGTGGCAAGTAAATGGCTCTGTGAAAAGAGCGTCTTGCTTCCTGTGAACTAAAAATGGATAGCTCCAATTATTGCTCCTTCCACACATGAAGATGGTACGAAGTCAGTTAATTATAAATAATGCATCCAGCCATAGAAGGCATGAGGTATATATTATGTTATTGCACATTAAAAATCTTTATGAGTGTGGCAAGAGACACATATACCAACAGCTGCTAAATTCAGAATCCTGGAGCGGTATCTTATTTTAATAGAAGAGAAGAACCAGAGAGTCTGTCACTCTAGCTCTAGGGATTTCCTGCTATATCCTATTATATAAAAAGATCTTAAATCTACATGAGATTTTGCTTGTGATTTCAAAGCACTTAATGAAAATCTTTTTTTTTTTTTTAATTTTAATATCTTTCAACCCTACCCCCAGCCGGAGAAGGCAATGGCATCCCACTTCAGTACTCTTGCCTGGAAAATTCCATGGACAGAGGAGCCTGGTGGGCTGCAGTCCATGGGGCCGCTAAGAGTGGACACAGTTGAGCGACTTCACTTTCACTTTTCACTTTCATGCA